CCTCTCTGGCCCAGATAAGCCCAGAAGCCTAGGAAGGGCACTCCCTCCCTAAGGACCAGCCTGGAAAGTCTGAGCTGATGCATCTGGCCTCCCACCTCCGCCTGCCTCCCACCACCCTGGCTCCAGCCTCACTGGTGTCCTACTTTCCGTCCTGCGCAGTGGAAATATGGGTCAGCATTTGCTCACCAGGCCGGGGGCCAGAGCCAATGGAAGGAAAAACACCAGGCCCAGCTGCCTGGCAAAGCCCCAGCCCTACAGCAGCCTCCTGCCCACACTCTGGCTCTGGAGTCAGGGCTGTGGGGAGGATGCCCCAGCTCCTGCTTAGCCGGCAGAGAGAGCTCTGAATGTAGTACCGCCCAAGTCCATCCTATGGGCCATCTCCCATCTCCAAGGCTCTCTCAGTCTCACATTCATTTTCTGGCTGCTTACTCCCAAGGCAGCCCCAGGAACAGGGCGGCGATGTGTGGCCCACACTAAGGCACTTTTCTATCTGTATCTTTCTCTCCCTAGAGGCAAATGGACCAGCCGCTGACTCCTGACAGCATATCCCAGGAAGATCAGGCTGTCTCTTATCCCCGAGATATTGTAAAGGCCCCTGTCTGTCCTCTGTTTTCCAGCTCTGGGGTCTTCACCACTTCCCAGTGCCCTCAGCCCCTCAGGGCTGCCCATGGGGGTCTCATATCCAAGCTCCAGGCTAAGCTCCACTTCTCTAGTGGAAAGGGGATGTGTCCTGGTCCCAGGGCAGCTCTGAGGAAGGGCCTGGGACTGCACCTTTTGTGGGACCCTCATTTGTCCAGAATGGGAAAATGGACAGAGAAGTCTAGACTGAAGCGAAGGGGACAAAGCTTTGACCTGGGTCAAAGCCAGGGTGTTCCCTGCAACTGCTAAGCCTGAGATTTGTGGAGCATCTGGCTCCTCTTCCTTCTAGGAATTCTCAAAAGATGTTTTCCACTTTATTTTATTGAGACAGGGTCTCACTGTGTAGCTTTCCACAGCCTGGAACTCGCTCTGTAGACCAGGCTGGCCTGGAACTCACAGAGATCCACCTGCCTCTGCCTTTCGGGTGTTGGGATTAAAGGTATGCACCACTACAACTAGACAAAGATGCTTTAAAGGGTGTAAACAATAAATTTTACTACTAATGCTTCAAAGAAAGGGCTGCCTGTCAACTCCATACCACCCGAAAAACAACGTATGAAGTGGTACCCATGCCAATGCTGCCTCCTCTGCATTCAGGCTGTTGGCACAGCCTTGTGGAGGCTGGAGAGACACTCCAGTGCCAAGGTACTTACCTTCTACCTGGCAGTCTCACGGGACAGGTACAGAAAGAGTTATGTCCCTTTTGCCCTTACTCTGGCTGACACTCCAGCCCTGGCCCCTGAGGAGGTGTGGTCACTGGGTGCTCCTTCTCTCATGGCACAGACACCTCCTTCCCCGGTTATTTCTTTTCCTTACCACGAACCATTAAGCACACCCATCAGGGTACTCTGCACACTGGAAAAGGGGCAGGGTTTTTTTCTAAGTCCTTCCTGGGTGCATTTTCTCAGAGGTCAAAGAGATGAGACTATTTCAGTTTCTTCACATATAGCTGTGTGTTCCCAAGAAGGTGACTTTTTGTCTCTGAGCCGCAGCTTTCCCCAGCTGGGAACACGGGGCACTATGCATTTTTAGTGCTCCACCAGGACACTCCACCTCTTCTGTTATATGGTGACAGCCATCGATAAAATGCGCGGGGTGTGTGGCCATGTACCCACGGAAAACCCTGGGAACCCAAGAAAGGATGAGGGAGTGAGCCTGAGGAGTCTGGGCCATTGCTACGAATCCTATACCCGCTCCCTCCCAGACCTTCCAGAGTGCAGGGGAAATGCTCCCACTTGCCAGTAAGAGCAAACTGTGACCTCAGAAGCTCTAACAAGGCCGAGTTCCCATCCTTGGACAGTGGCATGTCATCTAGGGATCAGGCATCCCACACCAGCCTAGAAATGTCACCAGGAAGCATGAAGGAGAATCTCCAGCACATGTCATCCATATGCCCAATCCAGTAAAAACAAACAGTGGCCAACCCCGTGGCCACAAGCCAGAGAGTGAGCCCAGCAAGAATCTAAGCAGAGCCATCAGTGAGCATGTGCTGATGGAAGTTGCTGAGACACAATGTACAAGGCCATCAGGGGCTGGGATGCCAAGTGGGTCTTGGTGGAAACAGAATGACAGGTGTATAACACAGTAGTGAACATGCGGTCACAGAGGAAATACATCCACATTTGCCATGTCAGGGAACTGAAAGTGGTTTGATTTAAATGATTTTATAATCCAGCAAAATTTAAAATAACCAAAAATACCTCCAACTTTAACCACTCAGAAATGAAGTAACACACTCCTAGTGACCATTTATTTTAAGCAAGAATTTCAATCTGCTTCTAGAAATCCATGGAAATGGACAGCCAGAGCACCAGTACTGTGTGGAAATACATAAAAAAGATCCTATATCCATCTTAAGAAAATAAATTGGACAGAAGGTGGTGGTGCATGCCTTAATCCCAGCAATCAGGAGGCAGAGGCAGGAGGATCTTTGTGAGTTTGAGGCCGGGCTGGTTTACAGAGTTCTGAGACAGTCAAAACTACACAGAGAAACCCTGTCTCGAGAAATGGAGGAGGAGGAGAGAAAGAAAATGAAAGGAAGGGAGGGAGGGAGGGCAGGAGGGAGGAAGGAAGGAAGGGAGGGAGGAAGGAAGGAAGGAAGGAAGGAAGGAAGGAAGGAAGGAAGGAAGGAAGGAAGGAAGGAAGGAAGGAAGAAAATTGAACTGTCGTGGCGGTGCACACCTTTATTCCCAGCACTCGAAAGGCAAAGATAAGCAGATCTCTGTGAATTCTAGGTGAGCCAGAGATACTTTATCTCAAAACAAAACAAACAAACAAAAAGGAAAAACAGATTGAAAACAATAAAATACATCATGAAAATTAGAGGATTATGAAGGTATAAAGAAAGCAATAGAATAGAAAACAAGAGGCAAAATTTGACTTCTTCCTGAAATCAACTGTCATTGTCAGAAAGCCCAGTGCAGGATGGCCATCACTTTCAGAACTTGCTCAGTGTTGATGTTTAGGTCTGCATACAATCAAGGATGAGAAGGGAGTCATGAAGAGGGAAGGCTCCAGAAGAGGTCACGATGTCAGAGATTGGAAATCTGAAGCTTTTAGGAAGCCTGCAGCATACAAGTGATCCTCGGTTAATTCAAATGGCCAGAGTTACGGAATCAGGACAACACAAAGAAGTGAATACAAGAAACTGCAAAGGCGCTTGAAATAATCAGTCTGGGAAGCACATGCTCACACTGGCCAGGTCTGACGCTAGCTGGAAGTCAGCCTGGCATCCCTCCAACCCTTCCAATGCTTGGAAAGATGGAAAATCTCACCACTCCAATGTCACTTAATACAGAAACCCTTCATGGAGAAAAGAGAAAACCAGATCAGTATCACTTCTCAATAAAGATGCGAAAACAACCAAACTGAAAACAATAACATCTGCAGCATCTTTCACATGACCATGTAGACCAGGACAGGCTCTGCCACCAACTCAGATCACTTTGCTAAATATGAGCTCAGAAACCTCAGAGAGAAAAATTCATATGCCCCAAAATAAATTTGACCAATTGGCCATTATTATTAACAATAAAATTAACAGCAACAAAAATCCTATAGGTTCCTGTCATGGTTTATATATGAGATGTCCCTCACAGGTGCCAGTGGTAAAGGGTTGGCCCATAGCTGGTGGTGCTATTTTGGGACATGGTACAGACTTTTAAGAAGGTGGGTCCAGCTGGAGGAAGTGAGTCACCAGGGATGTGCCTTGTCCTGGGCCCTTCCTGGACCCCTCCCTCTTTCCTGGATGCTGTGAGATGAGATGCTATATTGCACCTCAGCATAGGCCCACAGTGAGGGAACCACAAACTTGGACTTAAACCCCTCCACCAGACAAACTGGGACTTAAACCCCTCTACCGTGAGCCGAAACCAACCTGTACTCCTTTCTAACTTTCTTTCGGGTGTGCATCACATGACAAAGATTCTGGCACAGCTGTGCACCCTTCAGTGGCCAAGACAGTAGTGTCTGCCACTGTCGATGCTGTCCAGTACTCTCTTAGAAGTTGTAGCACATGCAGTAAGGTAAGAAAACAAATGGCATAAACATAAAAGAGCATATAGAATAATTTTGTTGGTGACATGATTGCAAATCTAGAAACTCAAATTTTATTTAAAAAATTAAGGCTCAGCTGGGAGGTGGGGGTGCATGCCTTTAATCCCAGCACTCAGAAGGCAGAGGCAGATGGATCTCTATGAGTTCGAGGCCAGCCTGGTCTACAAAGCTATACAGAGAAACCCTGTCTCAAAAAAACCAGTCAATCAATCAATCATAATAAATTAAAACTCAAAGGTCCCTGAGATGGTTCAGCAGTAAATTAATTCACTTGCTACCAAGCCCAAAGACCCCAGTTTAATCCTTGGGATCCACAGGATGGAAGAGGACAATTTAATACATAAATTAAAATGTAATAAAAAGTTTTAATTGAAGAAATAGTCAGCACACCTTTAATCCCAGCACTTGGGGGTTAGAAGCAGGCATATTTCAAGTGTAGCTTGATCTACACAGTGAGTTTCAGGTCAGCCAGAGCTATGTCATAAGACCCTACCTCAAAAATGTTTAATTAATATGAAATTTTAATAAAAGATTTTTTAAAACATATATTCATTCTAGCAATAAGCACTGTCCTAGTTTGTTTTCTGTTGTGATAAATATCATAAGCAAAAGCAACCTGGGTAGGAAAGGGTTAATTTCATCTTAGAGTTTACAGGGCAGGAACCTGGAGGCCGGAACTGGAGCAGAGCCATGGAAGAGTGCTGCCTACAGGCTTGCTCTCCTTGGCTGTCTCAGCTTGCTTTTGTACACAACCCATGGCAATCCCTAACGAAGAAAATGCCATAGAAACCTGGCTACAGGTCAACCTGCTGGAGGCATTTCCTCAGCTGGCGTTCCCTCCCAGATCACCCTAGCGAGGAAACCTGCAGCAATGCTCCACTGACAGCGCGGATGGTGTAAGAGAGCCCCAGAGAGCCGGGACCCCGCTACCAACAGCTCAGACAGGCCGGGTCCACCAGGCAAGACTGACGTCTCCCGCTCACGGCTGCTCTGTTCCACAGGTGCTCAGCTTGCTTTCTCCAGACTCCAGGTGTGGTTCTCGGGCAGGACAGCGAGACTGTAAAAATGGGCTGGTGGTGGCGCACGCCTTTAATCCCAGCACTCGGGAGGCAGAGGCAGGCGGATCTCTGTGAGTTCGAGACCAGCCTGGTCTACAGAGCTAGTTCCAGGACAGCCTCCAAAGCTACAGAGAAACCCTGTCTCAAAAAACCAAAAAAAAAAAAAAAAAAAAAAAAAAGGCTGGTGGGGGGAATGGGAATAGGGGGTGGGAGGAGGGGTGGGGGGACTGCAGAGAGGAATGCAGCCTGACCACACCATCTAAACAAGGTCACAGAAGTAGCCCTGATCTCTGTGTTTGTCTTGTGGTCAGAAGATTATCGCTGGGCTGCTGGGGACAGAAACGTCTCCCCACCTGTGAGGAAGCCACTATTCCAGGAGAGTTAGCAGCGGTCTTCTCCAGACAAGAAAACGTGAAATACTTTGACAAGAGAGATGGAGATGTGCATGAGGAGACTGACTCAGTGCAGGTCACACAGACAGGGAGACACTGACTCAGTGCAGGTCACACAGACGGGGAGGACGCGACTCCCCCTGGAGAGGGAACAGGTGCTTCCTGGAGTTCCGTGAATGAATGAGTGTCGGCAAGTGTTCCTTTTTCTGTTTGCTCCTCTCACGGAGCCCATGAACACCATGAACACCTGCGACTGCTGCCCAGTGTTAATGGCAACAACGTTCAAGAAGTGTCAGGTGGCAGGCCTGGGGAAATGGTTCAGGGGTTAAGAACGGGTGATGCTCTTCCAAAGGACCTGAGTTCAGTTCCCAGCACCCCCACATCTGAGCAGCTCACAACTCCCTACAATTCCAGCTCCAGGGAGTCCAACGATATCTTTAGGCTTTCAAGGACACCAGCACACACACATAAACAAATGTTTTCCAAAGAATTTGTGCTGGGGAGATGTTCCACTGGTTAAGAACACTTGCTGCTCTTGCGAAAGATTGGGGGTTGAATCCCAGAAGCCATGTTGGGTGGCTCACAACTGCCTGTAACTCCAGCTCCAAGGTATCTGATGCCTTTTTCTGGCCTCCATGAGAATTTACTCTCACATACACATACCCACACAATGACCACACACATATGTGTAATTTTAAAAGTCAAAGAAAATGCCAAGTGCCAAATAAACACCAAGTGTTGACTCAGCCTGATGAGCCTGGAAACCACTGGGGTCCAGGCTCTGCTACCACACTCAGACTGCCCAGGTCTCAACAGAGCTCACACTCTCAAAAGCTTAGCAATGGCAACGATGGATTTAAAGACAGTTGAAAACAATTGCTGTGAGGGAAGGCAGTGACAGGCAGGTGACATGGGTGGTGACAGAATTACGGAAGAGAGAGAAAAGGCAGAAGCAGAGCTCATTGGATATACAACAGCATAGCCAACACAGCTCATCCAGGATGCGGCATGGCGGCAGCAAGCCAGACAGCAGACAGAAACTGTCGGGCTCTGTGAAAGGCTGCTATTATGGGGGGGGGGGGCAGTCAGGCAGTTTAGTGTCTCAATGCAATGGAACAGTTACAGTTAGAATTTACTGTGGCTAGCAACAGCCTAGCCTTGAGGCAACCACAATTTTGTCTGAGGGAAAATGGTTCAGAGAGCTCATCATCCTAAACCAGCCCCCACACAAGGGTGTCTGGTTATCACAAATACACACTTCTTAGAGGAATGGAGCAAGTAAAAGGCCCTCAGTGGGTTTCCTGGGGTTTGTTTGAGGCTTGGATCTCAGGAAAGGTGCTGGGAGAGCTGAAGGCTGTGCTGGAGGAGACCCTGCCATGGAGGGCAGGGTGAATGGTACTGTTAGGAGGCCAATGCGGAACTAGCAGCCTGGGCTGCCAGCGCTGGACGACCCCAAAGGCCCCCGGAGTTCTGGCGTGGGCAGGGCTTGGCGCCTCAGCCCAGTGATGCTTCCAGCTCTGAGTTTCTCTCTTTTCATGACCTTATCAGCCTTCTGGGATGTGTAAACCATGAGCTAACTGTGCGGGAATGCACTTGCCGCTGGCTGCCCCTTCAGAGCCTGCTGGTCCCCATCAACACAGTGCTGACCTTCACCTCTCTCCACTCCCAGTTTTCCACGGAGAAGCCCAGGGCTACAGCGCTATAGGTCAGGTGTGACTAGCCACTAACTACAGCCTTGCATGAATGGGGCGGAACAGGGCACCCCTACTCAGGAGCCTAAGTCCCTGCTTCATGTCTGCTTTTGTGGTGACGTATCAGGGACCCTCAGATCCCCAAGGTAGATGGAGCTTTGCCTGGCTAAGTGCCTGGGGCCCAGCCAGAGATGCCCTCTTACTTAAGCTGGGTCCACAGAGTCCCTGTCCTCCACCAGTGTGTCTGGATTGGGCCTGGTTCCCTGGGATGCTGGGCTCTGCTCTGCTGCCTGTGATGAGGATCAGGCATTTCCTCGCAAGAGTTGTCCTTTCCAAAATCATGGAAGACCCTCAGCCTGAGCCAACCCTCCTGCGGTGCTAGGAGGGCTGTACCTGCCTCTCTTGTGTGGCTTCCACAGTGACACCTAATTTGGTCTTTTTCTAAAGCCAGCTTTGCAGCATAAATGTCACCCCGTCACAGTGAGCAACTCATCAGCATGTTGGCACACTTGCAGTCACCTCAAAGAGAGCCTTCTTTTCACCCCCAGAAGAGACGCCACACCCCTGAGTGGCTGCTCCTGCTGTGGTATGAACGTGTGTCTCAAGCTGGGCTGCCTGCCATCCATGGTGGTTATTTCCTAAGGATGGGCCATCCTATCTTGCAGCTAAGATCACCTGCACTGGGATCATGAGATCCAGCCTGCCACCAGTCCCCTGTGAGAGGAGGGTGTGCTGGCTAGTTTTAAGTCAACTCCACACAAGCCAGAGTCCTTTGGGAAGAGGGAACTTGAATTGGGAAAACACCCCCATCAGACTGGCCTGTGGGCAACCCTGTGGTGCATTTTGTTTATTGCTAACTGATGTGGGAGGGCCCACCTCGGGATGAATAGTGCCACCTCTGGGCTGGTGGTCCTGGGAGCTCTAATAAAGCAGGCTGAGCAAACCAGTAAGCAGTAAGCCTTCTGTTTCAGTTCCTGTGTCCAGGTTCCTGCCATACATAATTGGCTGGGGTAGAACAGTAGTGTGGCCACCTACGAGTTACTCAAGCTCATGGGCGCACCTCCTAATGAATTTACTGACTCACTAAACTGGGTCTAGGCAGAACCCCTTCTTTAGTCTGTCAAGCTCTCCCCATGTAAAGTGAACAGAAATTTCTCTAAGTCTTCCCATGAGACATGCTATAGCTAATAGCAGAGACTAACTTATTTATAAGCAGTAATTTGCTTTTCACAGTGCTAGAGGTAGGAGTCCCGAACCAAGGTATCCACAGGTTCTGCTTCTTTGTCATGACGGTGGGCTGTGTCATGTGTCCTCACTTGGCAGGAGAGCTAGCCTGATCAGAGCCAGGGATCCAGCTTATGCCACACGTATGCTAGACACTGCTCTACCTCCCAGCCACCATGGCCCTTCCGTACGAACAGTAACTCTTTCAGAAGGGAAGCCCTTACCTAATCACCTCTTCCTTGCTTGTTTTCCCATAGGAACACAATAATTCATTTACCAAGCTATTGGGAAATTCTTCGTTGCTCTCAATGGCATTGTCAGACCAATGCATTTGCTTAGAGTGTGTGTGTGTGTGTGTGTGTGTGTGTGTGTGTGTGTGTGTGTGACCCAGCACTGGATTTCTCCCTCAATACCACCCAAGCTGGGCTCTGGGCATGGTCCCTGAGGCCTATGGATAGTGGACTGGCTATGGGTGGACAAGATTCCCTGGCTGAGATTCTAGGGAAGAAGCCGTACTCCACACGCCTGAATGCAGATTGTCTGGCTGGGCGAGGCCTGAGCACATAAGTTCTGTTTGATGGCACTTCGGATGGACCTCTGAGGAGCTGCGCCCAGGCCATGCCTATGAGCCTGTGTCTCATTTAACAAGTGGCAGCCGCTGCTCTGGGGCTGGGTGAAGGCATGTGCCTTGGACTGGGATTACAGTGCATACTGAGAATGGATAGTGTAAGGAAGGAGCCCGGCCCCTAGCGCCTATCATCCGGAGGCCTGATCAGAGCAATCCAGTGGCCTCACACGGACTGTCTACGCAGTGCTGCTGCTGGGACAGTGGCCTCGGGCTGGACGAGGTGGCCAGGGGCAAGGAGGGCGGGCACAAGCCATCTGGTGCTGGCTGACCCATCTTTGCCAGCCCCAGGCCTTTCTCGAATGACTGTCCTCAGTCACCCCAATCTCCACCCATAGGTGCCTGCCAGGGCCCCTTACTGAGCTCCACCCAGCAGCCCTACATCGCATCTCCCATAGCAAATCTGCTTAGGTCCTTAGGGGCAGGGGCAACTAGAGGCCTCAGCTTTGGTGAGGTAGAAGGCTGAGGGCCTGGTGGCCATCAGGAAGGCATACTTGTCTCTTGAGCTCTCCTGCAGATGTCCTCTGCTTTCTGCCTCCCCACGCCCTGCACCCTGGAGAGGAGTGGCTGGGGAGCAGAAGGAGAGAGAGAGAGAGAGAGCTGTGGAGGGAGAGCCAGGCCCAGCATGTGGTTTTCATTTTGGGTGTGACTGGCTCCTCCAGCTTGGATTCCTCCCTCACACTGGGCTGGGGGCTGCCAGGGTGACCCTGCCTTGCCTGAAGCCAACACAGACTACGAACAGGAAGATATCCTGTGTATCCCCAAGGGAGCCAGCGGGCAGTGGCCACCTCTCAAGGCTGTCTCCAGGACCAGAAAGGAGCCTGGTCAGGGCCAGGTGGGGATCGCTCATGATGCCCTGGCCCCTCTTTCCTGGTCTGATCCCTAGGCCTACAGAACTAACCGAACTGGGGGCTGCTAAGCTCTGCCCACAGCCAAAGTCAAAGTCACCTGCCTGGTGAGAGTAAGCACAGAAAGCCCCTGGCCCCGCCCTTCCGGTATGCCCATCACTGAAACAGGGTGCATTTGTGATCCTACAGACC